GGGGGGGGGGGGCGCAGGGTTTAATGGGGGCGGTGTTGAAATTGGCGGGGTGGGAGGGTGTAGGCGTGTGGGATTAGGTAGGGACTGGGATATGGGGTGGGGTTTGAACGGTCCGAGGTTGAGGGTGTTGATGACTGGACGAGGCGTCGGCCGGCCTCAGGCGATGCGAAATGCGAGGTCACCGAATGGTGCCGCGGTGTGTGCCCTCTCACCCCAAGACCTTCTCGTCCGGCCCGGCAAACGCAGGGTGCACCGCGGCACACATCACGACGCGCGCCAATGCATATTATCAGAACCCTCCAAAACCTCAGTCGGTCCGCCACACTCGCCTGCAGATAATCCGGGCCCCTGACCCTGAATGGCGCGCCTGCGCCCCCCCTGTGCAGCTCCCGCCACGTGGCCGGGTCCAGGCAGCCCCTCAACCCCACGTCCAACTCCGCTGAAACCCCATCCTCCTCCGCCAACGTGGACCCCTGCCGCGCCGCAGCCACCGCTGCGTTCCCCGCCGCCGCGCCAGCCTCGCCGCCGCCGCCGCCGGCGCTGGAGCGAGCCCTAGCGCGGACAAAGGCGCGGATAGTTCCCAAGATACCGGGACCGCTGCGGCTGGGCGGCGCGGCCGCCGCGGCGCGATGGGGCGGGGCGAGCGACGGCGCGCGGCTCGCGGCCGCGGACGGCGGGAGGGAGCCGTACCCCTGCGCGCCGAGCGTTGCCCAAACGAGCGGGTGATGACGTCATGCGACAGGCAGCCGAGATTCCGTGCTGCGCCGATCACACACAAAAGCCCACGCACAAAACGCACTCCACACGCATGCCGCCCGTGGGGTCATGCAAGCACGCGGCCGAGCGCATATCAAGGTGTCCCCGCTTAGCGCCAAAGCGGCCCCGCGCGCAAAGTCGAGGCGGCCGCGCGCGCAGTATAAAGGTGCCCAAGCATTAAGTGTTGAGGCCGACGCGATCCGGACCATCACACCAGCACGCGGCCCGTCTCGACCTCCTTTTTAGCCAGGGGCACCGCCGCAAGCATCGGTTCGACGAAGCCGGCCGCAACCGCGGCGCGCAGGCCGCCGAGGCCCCGGCCGCCGGCGCCGGAGGGGCGGCAGCCCGCCAGCCAGCCGCCGAGGTCGACCTTTGGGGGTTTATTTGAAGAAGGCAGATTTGGACAGCTACGCTCAGCTGGGGATGATTCATGTGATCGCTCCGGCTTCGATCGGGTTCGTGTGCAGCGTCGCGAGTGCATCCGAGGGCCGACCGCTGCTGCCACACGTTGAACATCAACGCAAGCCGTGGGCGCTCGCGTGCAAAGCGTGGGCTCTGCGGGGCGGGGCGGCGCGCATGACAGGCAGGCGTTCCAGCTCCTCCCCCGCCCCTTTCCCGCCCCTCCGTTCACCCGGAATATTCCCGTCAGCATGCACTCGCCGCCGCAGCCCTCCTGCCGCCCGCTGCCATCGAGGCCGGCCACTGAGTAACCCCCAGAAACCTCCGCCAGCGCCAGCCCCCAGGCGCCGCCGCCGGCCCTGCCCGCGCGGCGGGACAGCAGGCGGGCCGCCTCGTGTGCGGGGAGGCTGGAGAAAGACAGCAGGTGGATGCCGTCTGGGCGCTGCTGCCGCTCCAGTCGGACGACGGCGGCGCGGGGGGCGCAGAGGAGGGCGGCGGCTGAGCTTGGGGCGGGCTGCAGCAGGATGAATAGATCCTGGGGGTGGAGGATGCAGAAAAAGTGGAAGGGGAGGTGGGTTGCTCATGGGCCCGGGGGGTCTGGGGTCCCAGTGAGTCCACCAGCACCCGTCCTCCTTGCCTTGAAACGGCTGCTGACGCAACCTTCAAACTGCGCCTCCAGCAGCATCTGTTAAAGAGGAAACAGGACAAGGGCATCAAAATGGCGAGCTGGCATCGGCGTGGCCAGCGCCTCAGGCGCCCCGCACCTGCCAGCCGTCCCCTTCCCTAAGCACGCACGACTGCTGCGCCGGCCCCAGGAGGCCCGTCGGGCTGCAGGGGTGCGTCAGGGCGGCGATGACGTCATCGGGGGCGCCGCTCACGAGGGTGCTGGACATGAGCTCGCCGCCGATGCCGGGCTCTGGGCAACGGCAAGTCATGGGCAGGGAGGGCAGAGGCGGTGGGCCGGGGGCGTCGCCCTGCACGCTGGCGTCGGGGCAGCAGCTGTGCACGGCCGGTGCGGAGCGCGGGCTGCACAGGCAGGTGCAGCGTCGACGGCGCCACCGTCTGCAGGGTTTGACGAGCGGCACCCCACCTTTGGTGACGTTGTCGTGCCAGTAGACCGACACACCCCCTAGATCTGCCGCGCTGCCGGCGCGGTCGTAGGGCCGCCACGCCTTGGCCATCGCCTGGGGCACCGGCATGCCGCCGCCGCCGCGCGCCGGCGGGTGTGCCATGTCAGGCGATCGCGCGGCCGGCTGTTCAGGCGCCCGCGGCGCCTGCGGGTCTAGCGGACGCGTTGCATTCCCCGCTGCAGATGCTGATGCTCAGGGGCGCCGATAGCACGCGACTGTGACTGGGATCGCTGGCGCAGTTGGTATGTATCTGATGCTGGCAGTTGCAAGGTCTTTGTCTTTGAGCACGCGCTACAGGAGAGCAGGAACTCGGGGACGGTGGATCAACAGCGTTCTCCTGCTCGCTGGTGCAGAGGAAGCGACTCGCAATGTAAGGAAACAATCACGGCCAATTGATCGTACTCTGTAGGCTGGTTACAAACAAGGTGCCCTGATGAGGCCCGGCGGGGTTGTGAGTGTCGCTGTACTGAGTGCGTGTCACCGGTGCCGACGACACCTCAGTGGCATGTGCAGCAAGCCCACGGCATGTGCCTGCCAATGTGGAGGCCACAGCAGTCACATTTGATTTATGCATCACGCGCCGCTATGCGAGTTGCGTGAAATGCAGCGTGCTGCATCCCGACACTGGCTGTACCCCTCGTCGCCACTACCGTAGGGCCACATGCTGAACCGCTCTTCGGTGTCCTGATCTTTGCGTCTTGCACATGCAGCCTGATTTCATGCCCATCAATAGTAGCTTGAACTACCATTGATCGGCACCTGCCAGCGCCTGCATGGTTCAAGGTGGCCTCACACCTGCGGCAGGGCAGCAGGCTTTCACTCATCCCAATTGTGAAAACCAGGCAGATGCAGGCTGCCAGGACTGTAGCAACTGCGGGCTATGGTGTTTGCATGCCTCCTTGCACATGACATCCCCAATTGTGGGGATTGTGTGTGTGTGTGTGTGTGTGTGTGTGTGTGTGTGTGTGTGTGTGTGTGCAATTCAAACGCACAAAAGTACGGCCATGAAAGGCTGATCACACAATTACATAGACGCAGCCAAGTCACACACTGCAATGCTGACAAATAAGGAAAAAGGAGGGTTCCTGTCAAAACGGGGCGCCGCCACAGGACAGCGCTGACAACAACTCCAATTTGCAGCTGCAGCACCACACGGCAGATTCACATGTGCACGAGCCCGGAATCATTCGCAAATGCGGCACATAACGCGCGGAGGAGACCATGGGCGGGGCACAGCGGGGTGGCAACATGCGTTCGATGCACGCGAAGGAGAGCATCCTGCGGCAAGACGGCCACGAGTTCAAGGGCCCCGGACTGCGTTGCAGTGCCGTCATGCTCAGATTCCATGGGTCTTGTGGATCGCGTCGCCGCGTTGGAGTGCACTTCGTGTGATGTGAGGCTACAGGAAAGTCCCAGGGCATCAATTATTGATACGCGGCGACCAGCCAGCACTGGGCCCAGTGTTGGCGCCACATGGGGCACACACCCGTGGCGCGTGGCGACAGGGACGAGTCATCCGTGCGCGGCATTCTTCGCGGGTGCTTGGCTCAGATGCATGCAATCCGAGGCCCGGGGCCAGGAGAGTCTGCGTTGCATGGCAGGCAGGCGGTAGCGCCCCAGACGCCGGCTGGCGAGTATGTTTTGCCGCCACAGGCCTTGCAGACGCCACCGACGGCCGCGGAACCGGGGGCGCATGCGACGCAGGCGCCGCCGCCAGACTTGACGGTGCCCCTGGGGCAGGGCGCGGAGGGCGGCCCCGACACGCCCAGGAAATAGCCCGCCTCGACCTGCAAAGTGTGGTGCATCACATTGGGCAGCCTGGAATGTGCAGCATTTCAAGCACCATGCACCGCGCTTTCAGCAGCATCAAGGAGCACTGGGCCCCTAGGAACCACAGCCACTGGGAATGCCTGCATCTGTGAAGGGCATCCAATGTATATGGCGGTGGCATGAGCGAGCGCCCCACCTTGAAAACGAGCTTGCAGCTCCCAGTCTGGGGTGGCGGATTCAGTGACGTCAGGCCGCACGCGCCGACGCTGGTATCGGCAAAGAGCGTCGCTTGGAGCGTCCCGGGCTTTGCGCCGGGCGCGAGCACGGCGCCGTAGCCGCGTGGCTGCCGGGGCTTTGGGGTTTTGAGTTTGGGGTTGGCCGGGCCGTCGTGGAGCAGCAGACCAAAAACGGCGGCACGAGTACCTTCGGGGGCCAAAAGATGTATGCGTGTGCGCGTTCGTGTGAGTATGTGTGAAAGTGAGTGGGTGAGTGCGTGTGTGTGTGTGTGTGTGTGTGTCTATGTGTGTATGTTGTGTGTGTGGACGTGTGTGCGAAAGGGTGTACTTTAATGGGCGCCGTGTACGGGGGTGGGGGGCTGACCGCATTACCAGCAGTGTCGACCGCTTGCGCGTCCAGCTGTTGGAAACCTCGACCCACGTGTTTTGCAGGAGGGGTGGGTTGCGAAGCAGCTGCCGTTGGTCACACCGCCAAACACAACATCACGCCATGCCCGGTCGCGACTAATCCAATTTACTCACCCAGTGGCTGGCCGGCCAGTGTCAGCTCTGGCCGCACCCCGGGCCCTGCGCGTGAGCCGGTGCAAGGGCTTGGCTGCCCCAGCAGGCCGCCCAGGTCGCCGCCACCCAGCACCTGCAGGTTGCAGCATCCATGCGTCCGGCGCGCGATTGCGTGGGCAAAACAGGGGGATTGCTGAGCCTCTTTACAGCAACCGTATTTCCTTGCCTGTTTGTCAGGCGCGCGCTCTGCCGGCCGCTGGATCAGCGCCTGCGCCGCCCACCGCCGAGTGCCCGCATGCCCCCTCACCTCCCAGAACACGCCGGAATCGATCGGGGTCCCTCTGAACCTGTACTGGAACCCCGCCCACGTCATCTGATTCGCCAGCTTCGCCGCCAGCGCCTTGACGCCAGGCGCCGCGCACGCGCCGCCCGACGGGCCTACCGCGCCGCCCAACAGCCGTAGCGCCGCGCCGCCCGCCGCCGGCGCCTCCCCATCATGCGGCGTCTTCCACTCGCCGCACGCCTCGCCCCTCGCGAGCGGCGGCGCGCCCGGCGCGGCGTCCGCGACGCACAGGCGCCCGCTGCCCGGCTCGCTGCTGATGCAGTAGCCCAGGGCGTCGGGCAGCGACGCCAGCGGGCAGGCCCGGAAGCTGCAGCCGGGGGCCCCGGAAGCTGCCGGGAAGGCGGCGAAGCGGTTGAAGCCCTCCTGGCTGGCAAAGTCGAGGGCCGTGTACCAGCCGCCGCGGGTCGTGCTGGAGGTTTCCTTCGCATCAAAGCACGGCACGCACGCCGTTGCCGCCTGGGATGCCGCGAGCCGCGCGCCGCACGCCTCGCATCGGTCCGCGCCGGCACGCGGCGCGACCGCGCCGGCTGGGCAGGGCTTGCAGGGCGGCGCCGCGGCGCCGCCGGGGCCGTACGTGCCGGCGGGGCAGGGGGCGCACAAGGAACCTAGAGCGCCCTCCAGCTTCAGGCGCGTGCGGCCTGCGCGCGCGCCGGCAAGCGGGAGCGGCGGTTGGATGGATAAAGCTGGCATATCACATCCAACCATGAACGCCGCCGCACCCTGCCGCAGCTGTCTGCGGCCCTTTGGCAGCTTGAATTGCAAAAAACAGCGGCCCGCACGCCTCTCCCTTGCAGAAGGCTCTCACCAGGTGCGCAGGTCCGGGGGCAGTCGGGCGACCCAGCCACACACGCCTCAGGCTTGAAGGATGGGAACGCGCCCGCGGCCAGCCGGTAGCGGAACTTGCACCCGTCCCGCCGCGACGCGACCTCGAAGCCCGCGCCGCCGGCGCGTTTAAACGCGTAGTCAGCTGCCGTGAAGCTGCCGAAACCGCCGTCGCCGTAGGACAGCGGCGTCAGGCGTGTGCGCGCCAGCGCGCGGGCCAGGCCGTCGAAAGTAGCAGGGAATGATGGGGCCGATCCGCTGCTGCCCTCCCCCGAGACGTCAGACCCGAGGGTGGTGCCCACGCCTCCCTCGTAACCCCACGTCTGCCAGGTGGCGCCGGCGCTGCCGTTGGCCGCCGCCAGGGGGAAGGGCACGGCCGCGCCCGACGTGGGGAAGCGGTTGCTGCGGGCGCCGGCGCCGCCGACGGCGAGGGTGCAGTCGCAGCGGAGGGTGACGTTGATGCACGGCCACAGGACGGCGACGCCGCTCGACAGGCAGCGGGCAGGGGCGGCCGACAGGAGCACGAACGAGGCCTTGCCTGGGTGTGGGCGTGGGACGGGGCGCAGGGGCGGGCGGGCGCGCGCGATCTGTGAGTAGGGAGCGCATGTGTGCGTCTGCAGGTGTGTGACCAAGCAGCGCTGCGACCCGCAGGTCGCACTCTTCGAGCACTCGTTACCCGGCACCTGCGCGATAGTGATTCCACACGCTTTGAGAAACTGCATGACCGGCGCCCGCCACCCCCCTTGGACGAAGCGTGGGGTGCAGCACGAGCAGCACGAGGGGCATCGCGCCAGATGGCTGCACGGCAGGTGCCAACGTCCCCACCTGCCGGGCACTTTCCAGGGCACGCCGTGCAGGTTACTAGCCACAGTAGCAGAACCAGCAGGCCAATCACCCGTTTCGACATCACCGGGTGAGGCCGGCGGGTCTCACTCCAGTGACTGTAGATCAACGGGCAGCGCACCCTTCATCTAGACATGTTTACTAGAAGAAATAAATCGTTACTGAACTTGCTATGGAATGTGATAGGCATTGAAAGTGATCGCGCAGCCTGAAGCCTATCGGGATGGGCTGATTCAAATTACGGCTACGTTTCGACAGCCCAGCAACCGCTGTCGTCATGCAATTATATGCAGTAGTGACATAAGGGCAGCGTCCGCTGCCTTGCGCTCTAGCAGAGACGAACAACTCACAACAGCGCGCGCAGCACACTCCGCGATGGCGCAGGCAGCAGCGCCACGCCTGACGGCGATCGACAACCACTTGGCAGCCATCTGTGGCGCCGGCGCTGACGCATACAGCTTTGGTTACGTGTATTCGGGGACACCACAGGCCGCCGCCGCTGCGTCGGCGTCGGCATGCGCGTTTGTGCAGCCGGGCTCGGCAGGCCCGGGGGTCCTGCAGCGGGCGCTGGCCGCCCTTAAGCAGCCCCCCGTCCAAGCATCAGGTGCAGCGCTTTGGGGGGATCTGCTACTGCCCTGTGCGGGTTGGGGCGCCCAAGAACACGCTGCACGCAGCAATCCCGCCGTGCAGCATGCGACATCATGCGCGGCGTTCCCTGCATGTATCCCCTCTCCGGGTCTGGCTCTTATCCTAAATCTTCATGCACGCACATGCAGACCCAACAACCACCCGGAAGGCCCAGCCCGCCCCAAACTCGGCCGCGCAGCCGCCCCAGCAGCGACCGCTTGCGCAGCACCCCCATATGCACACACAGCAGCCCGGCCCAGGACCCACAGCAGCGGCCCATGGCCCGCGCGGCCCGCCCGCCGGCCCCGCCGTCGACCCAAGCCATGCGGGCCCGCAAAGCGGCGGCAGCGGCGCGGATGATGACTGGTGTTTGGAAGGGGTTGATTTCGACGAGTTGGAGACAGCTGCCGTGGCAGCCTCCACGCAGGTCCAGGCGAGCGTGCACACCGGCGCCGCCGCCACGCCACCCAGCGTCTCTCCGCCGAGCACTGGCGGCGGCGGCGGCGGCGGGTGGGGTGGCGGGCATGCTGGGCAGTGGCAGGGGCAGGGCAGGCAGCAGCCGAGCGGGCTCGGCGAGGCGGGTGGGGGCAGCTGGCAACAGCACCAACCGCAGCAACAGTCAGCCTACCATGGCGGCGCCGGCAGCTATGGTTTCCCATCGGGGGGGATCCAGCAGCAGGGCCGTGGCGGCGAGGCGCACGGCTTCGGCCGGCAGCCGGCGCAGCAGGCGCAGCAGGCGCAGCAGGCACCAGGCAGCAATGTGGGTGGCGACGGCGGCGGCGGTGGCGTTGGCGCCTACGGTTTCGGGGGTGCGGTGTCCACCCAGGCAAGCGGGTTTGGGGGTGGCGGCGTCCCTGCCGGCACGGGCGGTGCAGGCAGCTATGGTGGCGGCGGGCCCGGCTACGCGGCCAGCGGTGGCGGCTATGGTTTTGGGGGCGGCAGCGGCTTTGGCGGCGGCGGGGTTGGCGGTGGCGGCTACGCACCCCTGCAGCTGCAGCCCGGCCAGTGGGGCAGCGGCGGCGGAGGCAGCGGCGGCAGCGGCGGCGGTGACGCAGGCGGCGCTGAGAGGGTGCCCGACCCGAACCTCCGGGCGCCGGCTGCCGGTGAGATCAGCCACCTGCGTGGTAGCGCCATCCAGCTGGTCTGCACAGCTGGCATCTCTTTCTGCCTGCCGAGCTCGTTGTCACCGCTGGCAACGCCGCGGCCGCCGGCAGCCGCCTGTAACCCTTGCCGCCGCCGCAGGGTTGCCCGCCGCATGAATTGGCACCCCCTCCTGCGGCCGGTCACTCACCGGGTCTTACAAACAATTCTCGCCCCTTCAAACACACCCAAACACGCTAAAGCGTGCACTCGCAAGCTCCCCCACCCTCGCAC